GTTTCCATGCTGTTATTGTGGTGTTGGTGAGAGCCATCGTGATGATAGTGCGATTGAGTCAACTCACTCTGCTCATTTCACCAACACATAAATGTCAGGGATTCGACGATATTAGTTTATCTTCTCTGTCCATCTGTCAAATTGAAAAAGTTCATATAAATACAGACAAACAGCAGAGTAAATATAATGAACATGAAGACTACTCTCTAAACAACTGCAGGACAAACAATTATGACAAAAGGTGAATTCAATAACTTTTTGCATTTCATAATCTCTCACGTTCTGTTAATGAAGGGTCTATATCTTAAAGCTTCAATTATGTCCACATTGCCTTTGTTTTAGGAGAAAATTACAGACACTGTATCTGATAATGTCACAAAGCCTGGTTCAAATTCAAAACATGTTTTAGTATTTATAGCCTATTCTTTACCGGAAGCAAGTTAAAATGAAAATAGAAGGGTTGAGTAAACAGAACTTTTTTCCTCTCTTGACCAGAGATGGCACAAAATCTCAAAATATTTAATGAATGGATAGGCTCTTCTTAATTTAGTCATTTCATCTTGAAGGGGGTGGATTAAAATCCACTGCTGCTTCAATGTATAACCTATGTAATGAGTGATTAATAATTAAAGCTGCAGTAGGGAGTTTTGAGAAAACGTTGACTTAGCCTGAAAATTTGAACAAGCACAACTTACAGGTCCCACCCCCTTGCTCTCTGCTGCGCTACAGCCCTCCCTCCACAGCTCGTCCTCCACAGCGGAGCCTGTCGTGAACGCGCAGGCTAGTAAACAGGGCCACCGATGACGGCGGATAAAAAGTTATATGGCACATTCACTAATAGGGACTAAACGTCAATAATATGCTTTACATTGACTATGGCCTGCCCATGCTTTGACTACAAACTTGGTCCTCAAATCATTATGTATTTTGCAATAGCCTACATGTAACTTTATAACGTTGCACTCTTTCTATAAGTTATAAATAGCTAGTAAGATAACGTTAATATAACGGTAACTAACGTTACAGTATGTAAGTAATTATTCTAGCGATATATAATGCTAGATAAGGTGTGCTAGTACATTATTTCAGCAACATGACAAGCCAGTGAATTAGCAGGTTTCAATTGTTGCTTAGCAGAGTGCGTGACATTTTATCTACATGTTATGCGGCTAGAGTTTTGACACCGAGTCAATGGGCTCTGTGTAATTCTTTCTTTTTCGCTTGTTTATCATCATCAGTCTTTTTCCTTTTACCTCTTTGTTTTATGAGCAGGTGTCACTCGAGAATTGGCAGTTTAGGTTGTTTCTCCGTCATAAGCACAGCTGCAGCACGCCGGCAATCTTGAGTTTGAACGACGGCTCGCGCTGTGCAAGAGAGGGGTGTGATCAGCGCGTACACGAGCGTGACTGACACTGCTAAGACAATCCTCCTGGCTCTGATTGGTTGTTTCTGACCGGGAGCGTGTATTTCTTGCAAATGGCAATAGGACCACTGGGAGGAGCCAGAGGAGCTTGATTTTTACCCAGATTATCTGTCTCATATTCTGCTGTCAGGACATAATGACAGTTTTAGCAAATACATTTTTTTTCAAAAGTTACCTACAGCAGCTTTAAGGATAAGCATTTCTACATAAATCATTTCTATATTCAATGAGTGATTCAAATATACTTTTAATCATATGTTTTCTGTGAGTGTTAACCAGCTGCAGGTACATTCTGATGTGACCCTCAACGTGTGTTGTCTATATCAGTTTCTAGCTGACGAGTTAAGGTTACAGGGGTCCAACTATACGTGACTTCACCTGATTTACAGAATTGTTCCTCTTTCATGTGTATTTCTCTAGAAACTGAAGTGAATAGTATCTGTACTTCTTCCTGAGTAGGGAATGTATTATCAGTATGGTTTGGTAGTTTGTCCTGATGGTAGTTAGGCCCTCTTCAACCTTGGAGAAACTGCGATTCCCCAGTGCTTTTGTGTGTGCGTTGGATGTTCTGTGTAGGTCTTGTAAAGGAGCTATAGACACTTCGGCATGCAACAACAGACCCGAAGACGCCTTTTTCCGACCTCTGAAGTCACCGCAGACCCAAATCTAGGAATCGTGTGACAACTATCTTGACTAATGGTGAGATAATCTCCTATCTATCCATGTGTGGAAATATGCTTAGACTATGTGTGTTCTTAGCCAATCATAAACTGCAACCTGAAGCAAGGACATAGCTTAGACCTTGGTGAAGGGTATAACTGCTGTGAGCCTACGAACTCCTGTGAGTCTTGAAGCAGACTTCTGCTGATTAAACTGCAAACTATCTTCAGTAAAACTTTTCTTCAATTTATTATAATTCTGACTCCGGATCTTCTTTCAAACATCTGGTCCTTGGGTCCTAAACTGTTACCCCCCTAACAATCTGAATATCCAAATTTTTTAGATTTAGAGAACACTTAATGCATCCAGTTAATTTATGTAATTTTGTCTCTGTGAGCTGTGACATAGTATTATGTTTAATACAAAAAGTTATTTGTCTCTATCTGTTAATGAGGGACCCTAAGATTGAAAACCATTAATGTTTTTGCATTTGCTTAAAGTTGCTTGTTGAAAATTTAAGTTTTACATTTTGTTTAAATAACTTTCTCCAGTAATGTTAGTGGTCTCTTAGAATAATTTTAAATGTAGTGCTGTGACAACTAAATTAACAAATGTTTCTATTTATTTTCCTTAATGACAAATTGGCTGATGCATCCTGCACATGCTAAACTCGTAGCTAGCTATATGTTAGGCTACAATTTAAAGGTACATGCCCCTTGTTCTAAAGGGGGCATATTCCCTATTTTACCCGAATCTTGTGAAAGGTAAGCAAGTATTCGATGCCAAACGCAGCAGTTTTATCGTGAGAGCGTAGATATCGGTCAAAGTAAAGGCGTAAATGAACAAAGAGCAGCCAGGTTAGGTATCACCGTTTCAAGCGATGATCTTTCATATCTTGCTGAAACCGTAACTTACCTTATTAGTCTCACAAAAAATAAATATAAAACATTACATAGACATAGACAAAGACATTAGACACACACACACATTCTACCACTCACATGAAGTCCGAGACTAGTGGTGTCGATTAAATCATCAAGTCACTTGGCCACGCGAGCCTGTATCACAGCTAGCAATAATGTTAGCAGTTTATTTATGAAAACGACCAATTTGCAAGCGATCAATCAACTTTCTGTCTTTGTTTTTTTCTCTTTTTTTCTATCTTTGTTAAAATACTTACTAACAACTAACCATACTAACAAACATAGTTCCAGGTTTGTTGTTGCTGGATAACTTTCAGCTAACAGTTAACGTTAGCTTCGCAATGTAAGTTAGCTAACGAAGTCATCTGAACTGTAAACAAATTACCAACCTTTACCTCATTATCCTATCTGTTCTGTGCTGTTCTTCCAAAGTCCAAGAAACATTGGCATGTATTTATGAGATGAAAGTTGATAACACACTTGACCGACAAACATCGATTCGACCCAGTTTACACACACATTTTGCTTTTGTCATATTGTTTCTGATTGGTTGCTAACTAGCGGTAGCTTAGCAACAGTTCCTCTTACCTTCCCTGTTCTGGTGACGGTCAGTCTGTGTTAAATGGGGACTATCATGGTTGCAGTCTGCCGATAGACAGATCAGATCAGCACTAATGAATGAGAAAAAGATTAGTTTATGACGAGAAAAGATTCGTGTGCGCGCATTTTCAGAGTGCGCATGCGCGTTGGAACTATGTCTAACGTTACCTACTATTCAATTCACATTTATTTATTTTCACAATGCATATTGTTTCAAAGCAGCTTTACGGAGTGATCTGTTATCAGGGGTGACTGTGTCCAAGTTATGCATTTCAGAAATGTATACAAACCACACAGTTAGCTAAAAATGTATTAATTTAAAGCAGAAACAACAAATACTACAGTTGCTCTCAATCCTGGTTCTGCAACAGCCCTCAATTAACACATCTGATTTAATCCAGGTCATTAGTAGGAAGTAGAAACTGAAGACTTAACTTAACAGTAAACATGTCATATGTCTATTTCAGGTCTTATAGTCCACTATTAAAAAAACTGAGGTGTGCTTGACATCTAAAACGTACTGTTGGGAGGGCCTCCGGGAACAGGGTCGGAGCAGAGTTGTGTTTTTAAAAAGAAAACTCATCACCATTTTATAATAGTTTATTTATAATCATTGGGTATTCGTAAATTTCACCTGAAGCAACTTATTTTTACAAGGTTGTCAAGACGCAGTTTGTACGGTATGTTCTTTTGCTCATTGCTTCAGTCCATTGAACAGTTAAATTGACATTGGGGGCCAGTCAATACTGTGACGTTACGTGTATTATATATTTATATACTAACCCATCCAACTTTATACAAACAGTATAATATAATTTGAACAGTTAAAAATGTGTAACCAGACAGTCCTTTGTTGCAACACAAGGTAAATGTCTTATCTTGCAATCCCTCAAAACAGCACCTGTAACTTCAGCAGAACATCACATCTCACAGACTTGATCTTTGATACAGAATCAGCACATGATTTTCTAAACAGCCTAAAGAGGGAATTCTAATAGCTGAACTCAAGTGCTGTGACATCTCATGTGGTTGGTGAGGTTCATACAGCCTCAGGTCTAAATTGCTGAGGGCAATGGGCCATATAGCTGCACCTTTTGAGAGGTCCTCATTAACAACTCAAACAAATGATATGAAAGTTCACTATGGTAAGCAAAGGCATTTTGTGTGCATTTAACTCACTGCAAAAAAAAACAAGTCAGATTTATGACTGTGGTGCACCTGAGCTAGAGATTTTAAGACAGACATTAAATAAGAAAAAGGATCCAGATGGCTGAAAAGGATGGAGCAGTTGATGACAAGTAAGGGGGGAAAAAAGGTTGAAGACACTTTACAGTGCCCAATCTATTGTCTGGACTAACCTGCCATATCAAATACCTCAGAATAATTTAGATTGCATGTTCTTTGTAATTGTACAATTAATGTAAAAAAAAATCTTTTTTTAAACAGAGTCTAGAATCTCTTCATCTGTCGTCTTTCCTGTCGCCTCTGTTTCTTGTCATTCTTCTCATTCTCTTCAGGGGCTGCCTGTGAATCGGCAGAAAACCAGGGGCCCAGGAAGTTTGCCCACAATAAATGCAAAGCCCTTGCAGGTGCCTGGTGTAAAGAGAGAGCAAATAATACATTTACAGTAAAACTGGAATAGAGAAACCTCCATGATGTTACAATCAGAGCAATTCCGCAGTCTCACCAAGAGCCAGAAGTACCAGAAGTAGGATGACAGAGTACTGAGGACCTGAACAATGGCAGTAAGGATAATCACATCCTTCAGGTGTCTGCATGTCAATATAAGAAAAAAAGTCACTTATGAATATTACCATCAGGAATATTTATCACCAACTGAAAATACACATATAATGGGGATATAAATATACAGATAAAACATCCAACTCACTCTGCCATGCCCTGTTCCATATTAAGGTCAATCCCTCCATCTAGCAAGCTACCATCTTCAGCAAATGTAGATTTAGCCATTGCTGACATTGATCTGTAGCTGCCAAAGTAGACCGCCACTGCAAACAGTAGCGAGAACTGGTACAAAAGAGACAAAAGAGGGACTCAGCACCAGACTGGAAGAGGAGTTGAGTGAATAACATTGAACTTTTACAAAGAAACTGCCAACTGCCAACAGTTCATATCTCACAGTTGACTAAAAACACACATATAGTGATCTAAAGCCTAAGCAAATATGGAGAGATGGATATTATTGTCTATATCAGGGTTTTTCAAACTGGTCCGTGGAAAAGCTTAGAGAAAAGAAGTTTAAACATTGCAAAATAAAGTAAGATTTGAATTAAAAGACACAACCTAAAATAACAATATTTTACACATGATACTTTTTCACACAGTATAAATTGGCTTTTTATACATGAAAATATATATAGCTGCCTGCCTTATAAATTTTAGGGTGGAGGCTCCTCACATGAGGATGAGAGAATTTATTATAATTTGGGGGTCCATGGCAACAAAAAGATTGAAAACCACTGGTCTATTTCCATTTGGAAAAAAAAAGGTAGATAGCATACAACAATCTGGATTTGCTCATTCACATCACTGAACAAAACAAAAACAAAATATGCACATCATACGGTGACTTACCCATGTCCAAAATGTAGATGAGTTGTAATAGAGCAAGAAATTGACTGCTGCATAAATAGCCTGAAAAGAATACAAAAAAACCCCCAAAACACTCATATGACTGCTTTTTAAAAGATATAGATAGACTATATATATTTATATATTAAGAGATAGATAGATAGATAGATAGATAGATAGATAGATAGATAGATAGATAGATAGATAGATAGATAGATAGATAGATAGATAGATAGATAGATACTCAGGCACACTAAAACTCAGATGCATGCCTTACGTTTGCTCCCAGGATGATTCTGCAATAGAACTTTAGAGTATCCTGGTTTTCCTCATAGATTTGCTTTTTTCCTTTGGTTCCAACTTTACCTTTCGGCTAACGAGAAATATATTACTTCACAGGACAGCACTGACACACAGAACACTTAAATCTCGACAGTCACAATTTACAATTATCAAATGAATAAACTTATATGACACACAGTTATTAATCATGTTTCTTTTTGAATGGCTAGTTGTTAATCATGACTCATACCGGCATCTTCCCTGAGTTCTTCTTGTGTGCCTGTTCGTTTAGTTCACCCTTTGATGACGCCTTCACCTTTAGGCATCTAAAAAACTAACGGTTTCTTATTTTTAAGGAATAATCTTCTAAATTAAACTACTACCACATACTGCAAAATAACACATCAGCGTTCGCGAACGTGTTTCCGGCGCTTGGAAAATGCGTCACAGATGCAATAAACTGGGCTTCACATTCTCTGGCTTCACCCGGCTTCACCATAGGGCTTGACGCTTGCCTCGCCTGAAATTTAGGCGGCTGCAGTGAGGGGAGGAGTGAAACAAGTGTAGGCAAGCCGGTCCGGAGTCCGGACAGTTCTTTCTTCTCGCAGTGGATCTGACACCTGTGAGATCAAAGACGGATATCGCGGCATTCAAACTCGTGCACGGTGTTTCTAATAAACTGGATGTAGGCGAATGTTGTAATGTAATGTTCTGTTGCTTTTGTATATGAAAATAAATATAAGATTAAGCCTAATTTCATGTACGTACAGGATTACTGCAAAAACAAATTTAAGGCATTCGTTTTAAAAATTACTTGTCGGTAGGCTACTTGTTTTGATGCGAACTGCCAAAAAACACAAAAGAAGAAGATAAAAAGATTACTTGTCTGTACCACTCTGTAGGCTACGCTAGGTAAAAAAAAAAACAAAAAAACCTTTTGAGATTTTTGTTTCTCCTTAAACACGAAACTACCACTAACACTTTGCCACTATGCATTGGATAATAGTCCTAATCCAATAGGTCATTTACAATGTATAAAGGTTGTTTTGAGGAAAGTTTATTTAATGTGTAGCTTAACATTTATTTTAAAATATTTCACAATTAGCTAATGTGGATTCTTGGATGGAATGGTTGCATATATTTTGAGACAAAATACTTTATGATATGATTAAATCAGTTTTTCAAGCTACTTCCTGGTAAGTAAATTGATGTTTGGGGTAAGAATTCCCCATGCTGGAGGACATAACAGCAAAGAGCAAGTCTAATAATTATTGTGCATGATGTGCAAACTGGGCCCACATTGACTACACCAATCCCAACTGAGTACTCAGTAGGCTACTATTGATATGCAAAATATGCTTGCTCTGAAAAATGTTGTCAGTTAATTTTGTTTTCAGAATACCTGATGTTGAAAACTAAACATGGACATAATACCATTGTGATTGAGAATAGGTAGCAGTGAGTCACTGGATAAAAAGGGAAAGATAATAAGCAATTTCATTTTTAGTTGGCTACAGAAAGACAATCCAGTTTAAACTCTGTTGTGCATTTCGAAGAGCACAAGTGAGCAAAGACTTTATCCACCACCTAATTATACATAAAACAAACATGTTTTCTTCATACATTTAAAAAAAAACTACAGTAAATTGAACAAAACTTGGACAATGTTATAGGGCATATTTATTGGACCTTCAGGAGCAACTTTATCAAAAGTACAGTCATTGACCTCTGGTGGGATATTACCTTTCCACTCATATATACTTTAACTTTTCACCTATAGTCTGTTTCCCGACTCCAGTTCAACAAAGTTTTAAGAGTTCAGCAGAGTTGAAAGAAGTCGTTTTGTGTGCATGCGTATCAGTTCTCTATTTGCATTAAATAGCAGGTTTCAGAAGTGCTGTCCAGTAGATCAGTAACCATGTGGACCGCACTGGTTCTGTTGTGTCTCGGAGCCTTTCTTCTCTTCTTGCAGTTCAGAATTCGGCGACCTAAAAACTTCCCCCCAGGACCCACTCCTGTTCCATTTTTTGGAAATTTGCTACAATTTGACCGCATAAACCCGTTAAAGAACTTTGACGAGGTAAGCACATTGGCTTTATATTATTTTCTTTCTTTTTATTTGTTATTATTATTATATAATTATTATTATTTTATAAATTACACTGTATATTTTCTTTTCCTATTTGTTGTAGTTTATATTTAATTAATATTTTTACACTAGCCTATATGGTGGATTATTGTCACGTTTATTAGGCTATTTGTATGTGACTGCCATTCAATAATAATTATAAAAAAGGCCTGGCAGCAGAATACAGCGTTTTTAGTTTTCACGGATCCGTGTGAATGGGGAACGTTTTGCCAATGGTCGCGGAAAACTCAAAGGAAAAACGTCTCCGGTTTAAGCATATCGTTGTCCTGTAAACGTCCCCTTATGAAAAGTTATGAAAAGAAATCAAACTTCATTCATACAGCATGACACAGCAATAACACCCTGCTCTGTGTTTGTGGTCTTCAACTTGAATGTTTTTCTACAGTTTGCTCAGCGCTATGGATCAATCTACGCACTGAACATTGGTAGACAGCCAGCAGTGGTGTTGACAGGACAGAAGATGATCAGGGAGGCACTGATCACAAAAGCGGTGGAGTTTGCTGGTAGATCAGAGAACATGATGGTCAGTCATATAACAAGGAGCAAAGGTAATGCAGCATACACAAAATACTACAAGCAGAAAATCATACTACTCACATAACACAGACAAGTGCATTGCACTTCAAAAGTCTCCGTGCTGGGCTTAGAGTGCTCCCTGATCATTTTTGTGTGTTTAGGGGTGATCATGGCAGATTATGGAGACAGCTGGCGGGAACATCGGCGCTTTGCTCTGACCACACTGAGGAACTTTGGCCTTGGAAAGAGAAGTATGGAGCAGAGGATTCTGGAAGAAGTCAAATATATCTGCGCACAACTGGAGGAGTCTGCTGGTATATATGGCCTCCTCACCTGTCACCTTAAATCTCTATATTAACGTAACACATTTATTCACATGTTCAGTGTCCTATGTTTGTATATAGACATTTTTAAAATCTCAAAATTGCCAAAGAACATTCAAATTCATGAATGGAAAACATTTCTTGTCTTTATATCTCTACAACTCTACCAGGAAAGTCAATTGACCCTCAACATCTGTACCACCGAGCTGCTTCAAACATCATTGCCTCAATCATTTTTGGGTCACGTTTCAATTATCAGGATGAATATTTCCAGACATTGATCACAACTATGGAAAAACTTACAAAGATTGTCATTGGACCTTGGGCAATGGTAAATACAACGAAAAATAAAGGCAGCATTACATGCCAATTGCCAACCTTGTTGTTAAAGGCCATTTTCACAAACTCCGCCCCCCATTGAACAGATAGGCAATAGGCATATTACTTATATTTGCACTTCGTGTAAGCAAGCTGCTATTTATTCTCTACTGCTATTTGTAGTCTTTGTTTACACTTAGTGTAAATAGGCACCACTAAAATAAATTGTATAGTGTACATAGATTGTACACAAGTGGAACGACAGACATTTTTACATTTCATTCACAGATTTTTCTGTTTAATGATTATTTTCCTGTTTATCACTGTAAAGCTGCTTTGAAACAATATTGTATAAAGCGCCATATAAATAAAGGTGACTTGGTATTTATATATATATGTAAAAAAGCTTTTCTTCTGAATTGCAGCTCTATGAAATAGCCCCAGTGTTAAGGATTTTCCCACTGCCATTCTGGAAAGCTTTTCACTATTTTGAGACAATCAGAAAACATATTCTTAAAGTTGTGGATGAGCACAGGAAGTCACATGTTACCGGGGAGCCAAGAGACGTGATTGACTGTTACTTGGAGGAGATGGAGAAGGTAAGATACTTACAAAGGTTTGTGTGTGTTATGTATTTTTATTGAATTTTTTTCAGCAGCATATGAGTTTAATATTCTTTGATTTAAAGTGGTTTGTGAGTAGATCATTTTATTTACAGAGAGCAGATCAACGCACCACCTTTAATGACTCACAAATGGTCACTTTGCTGTTTGACCTGTTTGTGGCTGGAACTGACACAACCTCTAACACACTCCGAACTTTAACACTCTATTTGATGACGCACACTCATATTCAGGGTAAGGAATGTGGATAAGATGTGTCTAATTGAGAGTTTTTATGTTAAAAACTTTTGCATGTCAAAGTAAATTATCTACATGGCAAAATTTTATCCAGGTCAGAAATATAAATGATACATGTTGGTGAATTGCCATGTATAAATCCATGTCATTTTTATGTTTTTTTTTTTTTTGGCCAAAGATTAGTCATGAAATATTTGAATATTCATACATTTTATACATTTTTTCCCAAAATGATAGCTGTGTGTGTGTGGTTTAGGTGAACACTACTTTATCGGGACAAAATGTCCCCACAAAGATGGCAATATCTGAATTCCTTGTCCTTGTGGGGACATTTTTTGGTCCCCATGAGGAAAACAGCTTATAAATCATACTAAATTATGTTTTTTTTAAAGGTAAAACTGCATAAAGTTTTCTGTGATGGGGTTTAGGGGTAGGCTATAGTATTAGTGTAAGGGGATGGAATACACGGTTTGTACAGTATAAAAACCATTAGGCCTATGGAGAGTCCCCGTAAACCATATTCAAGATGTGTGAGTGTGTGTGTGTTTATTGCAAATTTCTGTTTCTAAAAATTAGGTAGGCTGGGTTAGATTTCTTTATGGATTTTGCATTAAGAAATATTATGCAGCAAAATAAGATTCTGGAATGATATAATGCATTTTATTTTTATGATTTTGTTGTTGTTGTAGCATTCATAGTTTTTCAATGTCTATTTGTGTCTTTGTGTTAATATCTGTTTATACATCTTCAGAGCAATGTCAGCGGGAGATTGATGAAGTCCTTGGTGCCCGTGAACATGTCACATATGAGGACAGAAACGCCATGCCTTTCGTTCAAGCAGTGATTCATGAGGGTCAGCGTGTTGGTGACATTGTTCCTCTCAGTATGTTTCACACCGCCAGAACCGACACTCAACTCCAGGGCTACAGCATCCCAAAGGTGGCATTTACTATAATTACTGTGGCAACAAATGTTTCTTTACCTCAAAGGTGTAGAGTTACTATGGCACATAAAACTGGCATAAAAGAAAGAGTAACTAAGAACATCTATCCATTATTTAATCTTATCAAAACAATCCATCACCCAAACTCTTATTACTGCAACTCCTAAACAGCATCTTCACTATAAAAGGAAGGTTTGCTAATCTTGTTAAAAACATCTGCTCTCACAGGGGACAATTATCATCCCCTATCTGTCATCTGCTCTCAGAGAGGAAAGTCAGTGGAAGTTTCCACATGAATTCAACCCTCAAAACTTCTTGAATGAAAAGGGGGAATTTGTGAAGCCTGATGCATTCATGCCTTTTTCTGCTGGTATGTTGTGCATGTTTTATTAGACAGTGTAAAGAGGTATTTTAATCTAGACTCATTTAGCTTATTTATATGTAATCCAGACAGAGGTGTCACTGAGCTGTTTAAATACACACTATACAGACAGGGTCATTGGTATGATCAAAACAATACATAGATCAAATAGAAAGCACATTTGTGTAGTAGAATGTGAACAAACTGTGTGTTTGTATTATGTACATTCACTTTCCCATTTCCTAGGATCTCGTGTGTGTTTAGGAGAAAATCTAGCTCGCATGGAGCTCTTCCTCATCCTGGTCACGGTGCTGCGACAATTCCATCTGATCTGGCCGAAGGATGCAGGAGAGCCGGACTTCAAATATATATTTGGCGGGACACAGTCAGTGAAACCTTACCGTCTGACTGTACAACTACGTACACCTGGGGAGTCTTGTGAAACTGTTCATTGAACATATGTTGCCCTTCAGTGAAACTGAAAACATGCCCCAGTAGTGGGTTATCACATCACACTATACAATGGAACCTGCCATTAAACTATTTTTAGCTTTTCAGCAAAATTTAAACACACAAGACATTAAAACAACAAATATTGTAAGTTACTAAACTATAAAATTACAACATATAAAGCAAGTGTGACAACTTGCAATGACATTTATGAAAAATACCTTTGCCCTAAGATGTTCAACTCAATATGGTTTTATTGTATTTGCTTATTTACCCAATGCCTACAGCAAAAATAAATTATAATTTTAATGGCATTTAAAACTGCCAGGGAAACCTATGGCGCTTTTCCACTGCTGGGACGGCTCGGTACGGTTCGACTCGGCGCGGAACGGTTCGGCTCGCTTCGCTTTTCCACTGCGTGGTACGACTCGACTCGGTACGGCACGGTTCGGTTCGCTTTAGCTCGGTTGCTTTTCCACCGCAGTTAGTACCCCTTCAAAGTGGGTGGGACTGATCGTTATTTTGTCCCTACACTGTTTGTAGGTCCGGTGATAGCTCTCGCTGGATCCGCTCCTCGGCAACCAACGAGTGGAACGTCAGCACCTCGTCCACTGACCACGATTCAGCCATTTCTTTTTAAAGTTTAAAAAACAGATGCTACCGCGTTGGCTGTTGTCTACTGGTTATTTAAATCTAGCGGGTTTAGTGTCCAATGATGCTGGTAGTGACGATTCTGTCTGACCAATCAGTGATCTGCTGTGTTTTTACGTCACATTTTAGTACCGTACCATGCAGTGGAAAAGCACCACAAGTGAGCCGAACCGAACCGTACCGTACTATGCAGTGGATAAGCGCCAAAGCGTGCCGTACCGAACCGTACTATGCAGTGGAAAAGCACCACTAGTTACTGAGACTGTAGCTCTAGTGACAACTAGCCCCAGTCTCTTAAATGCATTAAACGTGTTAATGGTTAATGGAACTTTGATCACTAGGCAGCTTTAATGCATTTCTCTTTAACAATTCACAACTATTCCATTTTACAATCATGACACATACAGTGGTAGCGTTTTAGTATGTTTTTATTTTGCTTCTAAAATACACTAATACCATTAAAAAATTGTGCTGCTAGAAAGCTCAGCTTCATACTGATTGAGCATGATGTAGTCAGACTACAAAATAATTGAATGTTGGAACTGATTTATATTGTAAAAACATGCAAATAAATAAAATATATAATTGATCACAAAACATCAAATGGCACGGTTCCTCCTCTTGTCCATTGATGTGTTCTTCCGGCTGCTGTTACGCATTAAAATAATGGAAACAACACATGAGTGAAAAGTTTAAGCATCACACAAGCTTATATCTCAAGTTAATATTCAGAACATACAATATTTTGTGTCTCTTTTCACAAGGGCAGAACCAGCATTAAGATAAAGCCCAAACGATAGAGAAAGAGAGATACTGTTGCACCGCAGCGTAGCTCCAACAGTCACACACAGACACGGAAGCTTAAATACGGTGCACTTTAACAACAGAATTAGATAGCAGTATCGCTACAATCGATACCGATTAGTAAAATAACTCTTTGCCAAACCGACAACAATACACTCTTTACCTGATCATAAAACTCCTCCATGGCTACATCTCTACACGTGTGCCTGGCTGGATCCGCCAACCACGTGCGCAAGACATCCTTCTTCTTCTTCTTCTTCTTCTTTCTTTTAATGGCGGTTGGCAAACAACTTTTAAGTGTGCATTACCGCCACCTTCTGATATGGAGTGTGGATCACAATAGCCTTTCCTCACTACCTTTAAATAAATATATAAATAAATACATACATCCGTAATAAAACCAATAAATAACTTCATAAATATTTAATAACATTATTAATATTCATACATGATCATTATTATTAAATACAACTTTCTAAGACAACTCAACTCATATTCTTCTACTAAGTCCTGTTTTACTCAAAAACACAAATATCGCTCTATACCCTACATGTCCTGAATTCATTTGTAATATTTCCTTCATTTCAAATCTAATTTTTTCTTTTCTAAACCAGTTTTTCAGCCTCATCCTTTCCTCCTTATACTTATGACAATTTATAATAACATGTTCTACTGTTTCATTAATATTACATACCTCACACATCCCGTTTTCATGTTTCCCTATTAATGTAAGCGTACTATTCAATCCAGTATGCCCAAATCTCATTCTTGAAATAATGTCCTCTTCCCTTTTATTCCTATTATTTTCTCTCATACCTCCTACCCTCTTTTGGATACTGTAATACATTCTTGCTTTTATTTCTTTATTCCACTCCTCTTGCCACTTCTTTATCATTTCTTCTTTGATTATGCTTTTAACTTCCGCCTTACTATAACTTATTACCATATCTATCTCTGTTCTTTTGGTTGCATTTTTGGCATATTTGTCTGCCATTTCATTTCCTTCTACTCCTATATGAGCTGGAATCCAGATGAATTTTACTACTACTCCTACTCTATTAACTCTATAAACAGCTTGAGCTATTTCCAACAAAATATCATGTCTTGCTTCGGATTGCATGTTCTTAATACTGGTTAACGCACTACTTGAATCTGACCCAATTAACACTTCCCTTGACCTACTATTTTCAACCCACTCAAGGGCTAAGAGAATGGCCAGCATTTCTCCTGTATACACTGACATTTTATCATTTATTCTCTTATTTAACATAACATTCACTTCTGGTATAATGAACGCAGCTCCTACTCTATTACCTTCTGTTTTTGATGCATCTGTATATATCTTAATAAACATAGAATAATTCTCCTCTATATATCTACTAACCTGACTCCTATCAATACTATTCTCTTTTTTCCACTCTAATAGGTGCAAATCTACCTCTAACTCCCCTAATAGCCAAGGAGGAACATTAGATAATGGCACAGTTGGACTAACCGTCATATTTCCTATCCCTATCTCATCGACTGCATCCCTTATTATCCAACCAAAGCTCTTAGTCTTTCGTCTTTCCCTTTCTTGACATGGTTGTAACACCTTCTGAGTCGGGTGACTTTCCTTATGCCCTTTTAAATTTGCCCAGTACGTTAATGCTATCTGTCTTCTCCTAATCTCCAATGGCATCTCATTAATTTCTACCTGTAATGCCGCTACTGGGGTTGTTTTAAAAGCACCACAACAGAGTCTCAACGCCTGACTTTGAATAACATCCAACTTTTTTAGTAAAGTTTTTGAAGCAGACTGGTAAACTGTACATCCATAATCTATAACTGCCCTAATTAATCCAATATAAACTACTTTCAATGAGGTCCTATTTGCTCCCCACTCTCTACCTCTCAGACATCTTACTACATTCAATATTCTTTTACATTTTTCAACGACTTTCTCAATATGTATTTTCCAGATAAGTTTTTTGTCAAACCATATCCCGAGATATTTAAAACATTCCACTCTCTCTATATTTTTATCATAAAGTTTAAGTTGAATCTGTTCTTGCTTTTTCCTTTGAGAAAAACAGACTACTTTGGTCTTTTCCACTGAAAACCTAAAACCCCATTCCATTCCCCAACTCTCTACCTTCCCAATTGCCTCTTGCATCTTCCTCACTATATATTCTATATTTCTTCCCTTTTTCCACATAACACCATCATCTGCAAATAAAGCAACACTTATAGATCTATCAACTCTACTAAACACCTCATTTATCATAATTGAAAACAAAACTGGACTAACTATACTCCCTTGAGGAGTTCCATTTTCCACTAAATACTTTGTACTCAATTCTGTCCCTACTCTTACTGCAATCCACCTATCAGTTAAAAAGTTTTTAATCCAACTATACATTCTCCCTTTTATTCCCAATTGATAACTCTTAATCAAAAGTCCTTGTTTCCACAACATGTCGTACGCCTTCTCAACATCAAAAAATACAGATAATATACTTTCTTTATTAATTTGAGCTTTTCTAATTTCACTCTCTAAACATATAGCCGGATCTATTGTGCTTCGTCCCTTCCTAAACCCACTCTGGTAATCCTTTAACAATTCCTTTGTCTCCAAATAATACTTTAATCTTTCATTTATCATTTTTTCCATAATTTTCCCTACATGTGAAGTTAAAGCAATCGGTCTATAACTTTCTGCCAAACTCGGATCCTTACCTGGTTTACATATAGGTACGATAATTGATTCTTTCCACTGTTTTGGCAAACATCCTACTTCCCATACCTTATTATATAACTTTAATAACATTTCTTTACTCTCATCATTTAAATTTTTTATCATACAATAACTTATTTGATCAATCCCTGGCGTTGTTTTTCCCGATTTTCTTAAGACATTATTCAACTCACCCATTGTAAACATCACATTTATGGTACTTTCATTGTCCCCACCATCCTGTATTACTTCACCACTATCTCTTATTGTTTTCTCCCTCTGCGTCTTTTCCTCATTACTCAAATTACTATTACTATGTATTCTAACAAATGTCCTTGCCAGCAACTCTGCTTTCCCTTTGCTCTCTATTATTACTTTCTCACCTTCTTTCATTATAGGATAATCATACTCTCTTTTATTTCCTGACATTCTTTTAATCATACCCCATACTCTATCTAATGGTGTACTTCTTCCTAGAGATTCACAATACTTCCCCCAAAAGTTTTTCTTAACTCTCTTTATTGTCTTCCTTACTACAGCCTGCTTCCTCTTATAATCAATTAAATTCTGGAAGTTATGTGTTCTTTTCAGGATTTTAAATGCTTTATTCCTCTCTTTAATTACCTTTGTGCATTCTTGTGTCCACCACGGAACAATTTTCTTTCTAATACTGCCTCCTCTTTTTGGTATCGACTCTTTTGCTGCACCTAAAATAATACTACTTATTTCTTCATTAAGATCTTCAACTCCCTGATTTATACAAACCTCCTTTAATTTTTCTTTGGACAATATTCTAAACTTGTTCCAATCTGCTTCCTCATATTTCCACCTACTTACTCTCTCTTTCTTTTGCATATCCCTTTCTATTCCAATTTCTATATATATAGGATAATGATCACTCCCTATAGTACTTTCCTTTTTCACTTCCCAACTACTTATCCCTACCAAAGACTGAGACACCACCGTAAGATCTATTGCAGTCTCTATACCCTTACTTAAATTGATCCTTGTACCAGACCCATCATTTAGACATACTAATTCCTTTTCATCCAATATTTCTTCTAAAATTTCTCCATTCAAATCTTCTTTTCCACCCCACACCTTACTATGTGCATTAAAATCCCCGCACCAAATAATTTTTCCTCTCCACTCCTCCAGTATTGATTCTAGTTGCACTCTCTCTAGTTTCTTACATGGGTTATAAAAGTTAATCACTTTGATATTTTCTTTCTTATTCCATATTTCAACAACTATTACCTCTAATTCTTGTATTGTTTTTAACCTCCTATATACTATACCCTCTTTAATAAATATTGCACATCCCCCTCCAATTCCATTTCTTCTATCTTCACGTATGGTATTATATCCCTTAATAATGAAATCCAGATTAGTTTTGAGCCATGTTTCCTGAATGCAAATGATATCTGGTTTCTTTCCTAGCTTATCAATATATCCCTTAAACTCATATCCATTTGCTAACAAACTTCTAGCATTCCATTGAATTACCAACATTAAGTTATGCTTTGAGAAGCTGTATCTGCGTTCCCTTCTCCATGGTTAAGATCAGCATGTATCTTTTCCCATGACAAATCTCTCATGTTTAGGAATTTAGCTGCTGCCTTAACTATAATTTTTATCTTCTCTGTTTTTGTTTTTGCTTGTTCTGAACAATTTATGACATATGCTACAAAAAGCACTATCCTATCCATTGACATTCCTGTATTTTCCTGTTTTGACCCCGTTCCTTCTTTATTCGTACCAATGTCTTCTTTTTCTCTTTCATTATTATATATTTTCACAGCCTCTGCATATGTTACTTTCTGATTTGATTTTACTTTTTGAACCTCAACTGCCTTTTTTCGGATTTCACATCCCCCATATGCTGCTGTGTGGTTCCCTCCACAATTACAACACTTTATTGTAACATTACTCCCACACTCTCCATATGCATGTTCTCCTCCACATCTACCACATCTCTGTTTCCCTTTACATACATTTGCAGTATGTCCATACCGCTGACATTTATAACATCTTAATGGAGGAGGTACATATTCTCTGACGTTAAAGCTCATGTATCCTACCATCACTTTCATAGGAAGTACATCATCTTTAAACTGTAGCAGTACAGACTCACTATCTGTTTTTTCTCCATTTCTGAAAGCCTGCAATCGAGTGATTTCTGTGATCATTCCTCCTTTAATCACTTTCCTTAGTTCTTCCAGATTCTCTTCTACAGGAATTCCTGTTATCACTCCCTTAGTTCCTCTCTTCTCACCAATTATTTTTTTCTCCACTATTTCTTTCTTACATACTGATTGCAGTTTCATAGTTTTATTTTTCTGCTCAATATTTTTGCATTTCACCAATAGGCTCCCATCACGCAACACTTCGCCATTTCTATTTCCCCAATCGCTTTCTTCAATCCATTTGTAAGAGTGATCGGGCTAACTGATGTAATTTCATTCCCCACTTTAAATTTAAGAATGATCTTAAACTCTTCCATCATTATCTTTTTCCTTACTTCTCGAATTTCTTCATCGTCTTCTAATGTTCTCTTCTTTGTCATCTGACTATTTCTATTTTCTTTTTTCCCTCCTCCTTTCCTACTAGTACTCTTTTCCCAACCCATCTGCATATCTTCATCCTCTGAACATCCACTATAGTTTGCCATTCTGATCCAGTCACAAATCAGATTATGCCATGAACCCGCAAACAAAACAAACAAAATAAACTTTAAGAAACTAAGTAAGAAACAAAACAAAACAAAACAAAACAAAACAAAAACTTTCCTTTCCAGCAATGTCTCTGCTCCCGGTAGCTACTTCCTCCTTCCCCTCGTTCGGAGTCACACACACTCCATCCTGCGCAAGACATCCGTAGAAGAAGACTGACTTTATGCCTTTCTCCTTCGTCTGTCTTGGGTGAATACACCAAGTGAAAGTGACATATACCGCCCCCTACTGTACATTATTAACTTATAACAGGTTACTGCCCTCCATTGGCTCCTCTATTGCCATATCTAGCACCACCTTTGCTTTGATATATAATTTATATTCCCTCTCTATACTCTATCCCATACATAATGTCCATACACTCATTTAGATTTTTACACACAACCAGCCTAGTCTAGTAAATGGCAGTGATTTACTAGAGGGACCATGCTTTGACATTTCAGAATTCAGATGTATTTAAATATAAAAATTTCTATAATCTATACCAACATTACACTCTGAACTGGAACGCAGACCACCCTTGAAATTCACTCCCTGGACTCTGTCCCCCCACGCCCCCATTTTCAGCCCAGCACACAACAGGAAAATGACTTAAATCAGGTTTTTTTTTTTTTTCACTTCTCAAGATTCTGTTGTGGTTAAAAAGTTACCATATCATTAGTCTAGGGGTGTAACAATATATCGCAATACATAAATGCATCAATATGTATCATGAATAGTGACAATACGTATTGTGTATAATTCACCCCAAATGAAAATTACTGTGTGAGAAAAAATTCAAGTTTACAGAGTTTCAGTGTCAGACATTAAACTACTATATATAATGTTAAATATAATGTATAATGCAATGGGGGAATATTTGTGAGCCCTGAAAATGCCAAATGTCTTATGTTGCCAGAAAAAAAAGTGCCCTAGATTATTGTAAATATATCTAGCGGGTGACAGAGTGCAAGCATATTCGTCTAAAATAATTCTGTATTTTTATTTTTATTCTGGTGTCACTATTGTCCTGTGCATTGGGTTGCCAGCACCAAGTCCAAACCTATTAATTTACACCCACAATGTAAAACCCATTTAAGCATTTTAATCAACAGTACATTTTTTGTTAACCTTTTATCATATGTCTTGGACTGGAGTATCGCAATAATATAGTATCTTGAGTTCAGTATTGTGATATGTATCGAATCGTGACGCGGGTATCGTTACACCCCTACATTAGTCAAATCGTTAGCAGGTACATTGTTTTAAGGAGTGCAGACAAATTACACTACAAAAGGGTTTTATTATTTCCCAGTTTATATTTCTAGTTCCATGCGGAAAACTTTAAAATTTGAAACTTCTTTTAAGTTGAATTTCCACACACTGTACCTCAAGGAGTATCATTTGTCGCTCATCCATATAACAATTCTTAGATGATTTGAGAATCAGATGGGTTTGTAAACCATTTAAAATCATAGATGCATATTAGTTATGAGTAGAATTTTGCTGTCAGTTTTGGTTTTATTTGACCTAAGAGTTTTATTGTCTCAAGGGTATAAACAAAATGAAGACTACATTTTTTCTCAGTATACTTTATTTGACAACTTACAAAAGAGAGTCTCTTGGCAATCATTTAATTAACAGAAATCTTATAAAACGAACCAATAATGCAAAGACATAATTTGAGCATTTTAAAACCACATAATATCCATCAATACTGTTTTAAGAAGATCTCTAGTGTGTATCTTTGATTATGTGATTTTTAAAAGTGCATGTTTTTAAAAATATCACTATGAGAACCACCCCCAGTGTTCAAGGAAAAAGGCATAAAAAAAGATTGAAACAAATAACAAAATAAAAACCACTTAACTAAATTCCCAAACATATGCAAATACACACAGCAGTCCCTGAGAAAACTGTCTTGCATCTTCATGTCAAATTTCAAAAGTTCAGAATAAAAATCACACTTTCTTTAAATCAATCCAGGACAACTTCTGAAAATCTGATTTTGTGCTTTAAGACAGGATATGGTCTGGAGGAAGTTCAGTAAGGCTTATTAGACAGGAAACTCTGTAGCATTTGTAGAGATGGACCAGGAGCCCACTGAGGAACCATGTGACCTGCACCCTGGAAGAGTAGAATTGTATGTCACAAGAGCTTTGATAAGAATGATTTCACTCACACTCACACGTTTTCTATTTGTGAAAGAAGTCTCTTATGCTCACCAAGGCTGTTCAAAAATACAGTAAAACAGTAATATTGTGAAATAATATTACAATTTAAAATCACTGTTTTCTATTTGATTATATTTTAAAATGTAATATATTCCTGTGATTACTCCAGTCTTAAGAGTCACACGATCCTTCAGAGATCATTCTAATATGCTGACTTGGTGCTCAAGAAACATTTATTATTATTACACCACAAAACCATATTTGCTAAATGAAATCCAATAGTTCTTTCTTACTAATTTTAGGGTGATGATTCCAAATAAACAGCACCTGTTTTGAATTTTATAGCATTTTTGCTTTCAACAACCATTTGTAAGGTGAATAAGTCTTGTATTACCCCTTAATTAATATGATATAAAATTACTGTATAATATTACCCTTCAAAGACATGATTCCCATCTTCCTCTGAGCCAGGTTAGAACTATTTAATCAATTCTCAGCTGATTTTCACATGTATGACATAATTTTATGCCTAATCCTGATTTCAAGTGACAGAAGAACATGCAAACATGACCCAGATGTTTTCTGCTTTGTACATCTGTGCATTGTACTACATTCAACCAGCGACAGAAAATTACAGATTTTAAAGTTGGGTTTTTTTGTTGGTAAGTTGGTCAATTAAATGATACTTATTTTGTAATTAAAACTGAATCTTTTGACATATGACTCCGTTTGTTATTTGGATTAGTGAATTAAACTTGATACATACATATAATTTGAAAAAAATAAAAATGTTAATTTATTTTGTATCGTATATTTTGCACATATGACATTTATTGCTATGTTATTCGATCTGCATCGTCATCAATGTTTGCGGCGGCCATTTTGTTAACAAAGAAACTGGCTTTATGCACAGCTGCACTACTTCCTGAACTTCAGCCAGCTCCTTTGTTTCCTGTCTGCCATTATTGGACAAACTGATTAATCCAGGTGTGCCTGGCCTCAGTAACAATAATCAGGCACACCTGGATTAATCAGTTTGTCCAATAATGGCAGACAGCAAACAAAGGAGCTGGCTGAAGTTCAGGAAGTAGTGCAGCTGTGCATAAAGCCTATTGACAAGCGAGGCAGCGTCGGTATTATCACTGTATTTTTTTTTTTAAACAGCGTGATGGTGTGTTGTGTAATACACGGCTGTTCTAACAACAGCAATAAGAACCCCGGAGTTAGTTTTTATGCGAGTTACCGACTGTCAGAAAACGTGAAGGGAAGGAGACAGAGTTGAGCCAGCGCAGGAGAGGCGAGCTAGGATAAATAGGCTAAACTTTCAGACAACTCCCCACAGAAAAGTCTGTTCCCATCATTTAACTACAGGTTTCACACATAATCCGTGTGCGGTGCGTATACGGTACAGAAGCAGGACGCGCTATAGTGCTTTATATGCTGCGTTTGCAGTGCGTAACTGATCCGCGGGGACCGCGGGTGTACCACAAACGGTACTCACTATTTTTATTTGAACACATACTCACTATTTTAACAACGTAAGCCAATTATTCCATGCATTACTTCTATATATTAAGTTGCTCAAGCAAGTGGTCAAATATGTAACCATGTACTTATATTAAAATCACAAACATTTTAAATTAAAACTTAAAATTGACAAAAACAACCGACTCTCATGCCTTTTCTTTTGCATTTACATTTTAATACAACAAATCTTGCATGTCACAAAGAACTTGTTTTTCCACCTCCACGAATGAGACGAGTGTCGTTCATTATGTTGCCTTGTTGAGGTAAAGTGTAGTTTGTATACGGATACTGTATGAACGAGATAAGTTAGTTATAAATATCCGGATAAGTTACGGCTGGCAATAAGGACGGATCTTTACTTAATGCTATTGGGTCTATTTGATGTGGGTCCACCACACCAATCAACCTCATCTTCTCTTGATACCGACGAGATGAAGCCATTAGGCTACTGCTCCCCTCAACTCAAATCTGCGCGCGGCTAGGGGCAGCAGGACAGATGTCATGTCAACAATATGGCCGCGGTTAGCTACTTCCGGTGTTTGCGAATAAGGTCTATAAAATGGAAACCAGCAACATTTTTAGGCATATCATTACAATAACAGTTTGGCGCTTTTACAGTTTAGCCTGAATGTCTAACTGATTAGAGCCAGTCATATGAATCTCTATAAAGATTACAAACAGAGGTTGCACATCAATGGATCTTATTGAAGCTGTAAGTAAGTAAAGTATTACTACACCTTGGAAAAGAGCAACACACATTTACCTTGACTGTGAGGAAAGTGATGTTGCCAAATTGCTGGTAGAATCCAGCAATCTGATTATCATAAATCCAGGACTGGTACTGTGTGCTTGCCTTGAAGAAGAAAACCAAACATTAAACCTAGAAGGTGCTATAAAATCTGCTGAACATCTCAAAGAACTTACCTTCTGTCCAAGCTGCTCGACAAACCACTGGTCTCCAAGGAAGTTACAAGCCATATCGGTGTCTCCATTATAGACCAAAGCTCTCAGACCCAAAGTCAGCAGCTTCACATAGACGTCCTTCACAGTTTCGTAAATGGTGTGATACTGGTTTCCCACAACATCACTGCATAAAAAAGGAAAAACACAGTATGCACACATGATCTTATGCACACACACAGTCAGGACAGGCGTCAGTTTACCTGCAGATGTCCCATGGTGGTAGGACATCAGGAATGTGCAGCGCCTTTCTCACATCTCCTCGGTTAAGCCAGTTTATCTGAGCGGTACTATTGATGCATGGAGGAACTCCCTTAACATTTGGAGTATTTCCTACTAACTGAACATACAAACGAGAACACAATTCACCTTTTTGTTCTCTCTGGTTTATTAAAGTAGATGTTGGAAGGATGCATGAGTAGAGCAAACAGGCCTCACCTGATTAGCTTCCCAATGTTTCCTGAAGTTTATAAAAAGGTGCTTCATGGCTCTCTGAGATGTGACACCACCAGCACAGTCAAGATACAGCGCATATGTATTCAACCCAGAGCTATAGACTATATTAAATGCATGCGATACCTGCAAAACACAGAAGACAAATCACAAAGTCGGCATGAAACGGAAGTTGCGATAGTCTTTTCTTCTCTAATGTGATGTATATCCGGCTTCTCAAACAAGAAAAAAAGTAGACTTGATTTTGTCCATCAGGAATTGATTGAATCATTGTGGTTTGCTATTGCTGTGATCTCATGTGAGTGACGGGTTGTCCCGCCCTCACGCCGAAAAACACAACATCAGAGAAGAGAAGTCGCTGCAAGTGAGAGTGGCAGTTATTTTGATTAAGATTACGAAGGCACAAGCATATATTTTTTTAAATATGATGTGCACGAATAAATAATTTATAATAAAAACGGCAATATTCCATTTAAACAAGAATAGTACATTTTTATTTCAGGGTTGTACAACAAGCAGCGAGCATGTGGATGTATTCACGTTACCATGTCAGAGCAGGACTCTTTAGAATTATTGTAGAAGTTACAGACTCCATTTTGACAGCAGTTGTCATTCAGATCCTTCCACAACCTATAAGCAAAATAGCATAGGAAAAAAACCCCACTTTAATTAAAATATTAATTGTCATTACTGTAATATAAATACACACATGAGTGGCCACATATACTGAAGGAATAATTGATTTAGCTTACTGTTCTCCAAACAGGCCGTGATAGTTACCAAAGTAGATTAGTGATTGATCATTTAGTGCAAAACTACTAATGCCATTTCCAACAGCAAAGCCCTGCAAAAGAAACCAAACGAAGAATTAAAAAATAAGTACATAAATGAGAAATAAAAAAATAAACCTTTCAACAGACATTTGTCTTCAAGTATAAGCACATAAATAAATTACATTTTAAAAATGAATCAAGCATATTTTAATTTACCTTAAAGTTCACTTTAAGCTGGCCTCCAGTGGCAACTCTCAGACTGAGTGTGGGTGCATAGATGCCTCCATAACTCTCGCCAAAAATGAAAAACTCATTCTGGGTGAAATTTGGGAACTTGGTAAAAAAGCTTTGCAAAGCCAGGTAGTTGTTATCCGCCACCTAAAGAAAAGGTACATATCAGGCTTTCAGAAGTTTTTAAAGGCTATTAATGTCTATGAATGTTTGCATACTTACCTCATCATCATCGGTTTGATATTTTTGGTCATCTGAGTAGGAGTAACCCACTCCAGCAGGAGACTCAAGATACAGAACATTGGCGATTTTATTCCAGCTGAATTCGTTCTCGTAAAGAGTGGCTCCATTATCATTGACCTAAGGACCACAGATAGATAGATACACACACACACACACACACACACACACACACACGGAAGAAACAATGTTTATGTTTATGCTTTTGTGATTAACAGAAAAGCAATTTAGAACAATTCAGAACTCAACATTACGTTTTCCCTCTCTAAACTTTACAGCTCTGTAGTTCTTAGTCCTTTGCAATTAAATCAGCTCTTGAGTAATTGTCATTTTTAAATTGAATGGAAGAAGTTTATCAACCTACATGAAAGGGTCCATTCTCTGATAGAAACCCATCCAAAGAGCTGCATCCCGGACCTCCATTCAGCCACAGCAAGACTGGGTCCTTGAGCGGGTCCCTCTGAGACGTCACAAACCTGAAACATACACACACTCATCAATGCCATTATTAATACACAAAACATTATCTTTCTGCCTTACTGAGGAGACTCAAACCTTGTTTGCACAGCTACTAAGTTACTCGTACTCACACTAAAAGTTCAAAACCAAAACTTATAGTATTACAATTATGTACAAAATGTAATACTTTTCTAGACAGGCACGATATGGTATGAATATGGTACAGGTACACTATTGTGTCTTAGTTTATATCACACCCCATTCAATGGACCATATCGCCAAAATATTTTATTAAAAAAAACAAAAACATTTTTTTTATTACTTAAAAAAAGGTATGTTTGGTTTTTTGCATTTAAGACGTCTTTATTCATTCAGTGTGAAGGCGGAAACGCCATTCGCCTAAACATATCCTCATCACAAACAAAACATGCTGCATATTCACGCTCAGACAAAAAAAAAAAAAAAAGACTAATTAAACTCACCAATAATGCAAAAACTTGCCCGAACTCGCCTTCAGATAGCCTGACCACTGACGGTAATTGGGTTTAAAAGACATACCCGGCAGATCCAGCACCTCGTCTGGATCATACATGCCGCTCACGACATGCACCGACACGGACAGAAGACAGAGGAAGACATGGAGAGAAAACATTTTACACAGTCTGATGGACATGGACCTCGAAGACTCCAGCGAGATGCTTTCTTTTACTGTCTATGGCTGCGACCCTCTCTGCTGCCTGACCGTGGGCTTTGAGTTTCCCTTCCTCTCACGGTCATATGACTTTTACATTCGTCAGGTGATGCTGACAAACATCAACTAGACTCAGCACTTCCGCTTTACTTAAGCAACCAAACTCTGTTTGACTGTCTACGTGTGTAAACAATCACCTTTTTATCATCTTATCGATTATTATCCTGTTATTATCAGATTATATCAAAGATCCTCATAACAAACGAATTGAATGACATTTGCTGGATCAGCTAGGTAGAGTAAATATATTAGAGCAATTTTATGCAACATAATACTTTTTAAAATTACTTGATATTTTATTAAGCACATGCTTGAAATGAGAGTAGAAAGATCAGACGGAACCTGAGATATTTTATGTGAAATTAAGAAATTAAGGTCAGATCTGAATAAAAGCATAACATGTATGTTATTTAATAATTCGTTTAATAAATGTGAGATGTACGTTTTTTTTTTAAATTTCACATAATTTTCAAACATTTTTGAAGAATTGATTAGAGATTAAATAGAATTAAAATAAAAGAGTACTTTCATAGCTTAAAAAGTACTTTTAATTGCAGATATCTTGCGGTTCGCCGAAACAACAAACTAGGCATATGCGAGGGAAAAAATGGACATGTATCGTATATATGATGCATTCTCCACATGCAGCACATTTTTTATCAATGTTTTTTAATTAAAGTAAAAATTGAAATGTCCAAGAAATATGTAACTAAACTATATTTCTGTATTAACCCCCCCCCCCCCCTTCCCTTTTTTTAGCTGAAGCTATTTCCCCATTAAATTTCTATGCATCAGTATGATCTATCAATTAAGTGCAGTATGGATTTTGCCAGTATTAGCAGTTTTATGTCAAACAACATAATTTACAGCTATGTAGTTGGGTGAGTTCTTTTCACCACAAAGTGTATCAGTAAAACACAATTAATCTAATTCATCCTGACAAAGCATTGCAGAAGAAATGCTCATGCTTCATCCTCCATCTCCTGCCCTAAATGACATGAGTTAGTCTTACAGGCTAATTTAAACTGAGCCTTGGTTATTTGGCCAACCATTTACATTTTCTGAGTATTCAATTTTATATTTTTTAGTTGAATGCATGATAGTTTAACAGCATCTTGCAGTTGAAGAAAAAAAGAGCACAAGATCAGTATAATGTGGAACATCCCTTTAGTGATTGCACTGAAACTGTAAACATACAATAATAAATGATTGAGGAAAAGGCAAACATCCATGCTAGTGTTACTGATTAAATCCATGAGATATGACATAAGAATTTTGCTAATATGCATACACAATTGACAACTGGACCATGTGGTGCAAAAGGAGAAACCAGCACACCAATGTGACTTACACAATTTAACTGTTTGGAGAATGGTTCAAATGAATTTACTAGAGAAATGCTCATTTTCAATACTAATGATTCCACCCTAAAACAAAATTGTGTTCAAGTGTTCAAGTTAACCATTTAGTCTTCATTACACTCATTCAAGTATCAGTGAACTTATAAAACCAGAGATTATTGCATCCTTGGCCAAAACATCTTTTTCATGAAAAGCACATTTAGAAAATCTAGCTAAAACAACAACAATGCATCAAATTAAAAATAAAAACCATTTTTCAAGAATACTCTAAAAAAACATCTTAAATTGTCACTTTCAGTCTAAAGCGGTGTATATATACACGACACACACTATTAGTCTTCCCAGATCTTTTAGAACTAAAGAATTACATGTTTGGCAGTGCAAATCATCGAGAAAAACAAAGTTTGCAATAAGATTTTAAGGGTAAACATTATGAACACTGACCATATTAGCAATGTCAAGTATATAAGGCCATCATAAAATCAGTTTCTTAAAAAAATATATAAAACTTAAAAAGAAGGGAAAGGGGACACATTTACATTTCAAAAGAAATAGATTATATTTGGAAGATCTAACTTAGGAGCATTTAACACAATGTCCACATCCATTCAGAATAGAGAAGTATAGCATCCTTTCCAGGGGGTCCTCCATTCACAAACAGCCAGAGCAGAGAGGTTGATGTTGCATGCTGGTGGTTGATCCACTACATCAAGAGGTACAGGTTTCTGTGGGAGTGCATGCTTTGCAATATGAGACATTTAAACCAGTCTCCTGAATACGTAATAGAGGTCAGTGGTAGACATGATTTTTGGACAGTCTTCATTCCCTTGTTTTAACTATCTCTATTGGTTCATAGCCCATATTGGTGGTCACAACAACCCCATTCCCCCTCCCTATGGGCTGCTGATGATATCTTTGTAGATAGCATTCGTGGTAGTCTGGCCAAAGATGAACGCGCCAATTGTAACCATGATGACTCCATAGGCCACCATTGCATTCCAACTACAGAGAAAGAATTAGGTTATCAGTTTTATCATTTAAAACACAAATCTTTAGGCATTGCTGAATATTGTTTAAAGGGGTAGTTCACCCAAAGATGAAAATACTCTCATCATTTACTCACCCTCATGTTGTTCCAAAACCCATAAGACTTTTGTTCATAGTTGAAACACAATTGAAGATATTTTTAACAAAACCTGTGAGATTTCTGTTCCTCCATTGAAAGTTCATTCCACCAAACAGAGATTGTAAAACTAATCCATATAAATCAAGCGGTTTAATCCAAGTCTTCTAAAAAGACATGATCGCCTTACATGATAAACGCATTTAATTTAGGCTTTTATTCATATATAAACATTGATCAAAGTACAAAGAGCCCATTAAATATGGTAAACAGAATCTCAAAGGTCAAGCAAGCAAGTAGGGAAGTATGTTTGAGCTTCCGTTTACCATATTTGATGTGCTCTACGTGTGCGTGTGTAGTTTATATGGATTACTTTTACAAACGTCAAACTTTTGGTGAAATGGTCCTTCATCTGAGGTACAGAAATCTCTCAAGTTTCATTAAACATATCTTCCTTTCTATTTCAAATATGAACAAAAGTCTTATGGGTTTGGAACAACATGAGGGTGAGTAAGTACGGTAATGACAGAATTTTTGGGTGAACTAACCCTTTAATAAGTAATAAATTAGTTACCTGGCTGATCTGAAATCATGCTCTGAAAGCTTTGCCTGAATCAAACACAACCCTATAGACAAACATTAGAAGAATGAATATGATGAAACAATTATGAGATACAAGCAAGAGTACAGTCTTAGATCATTCTCATTTTAATACCTGGAAAAACAAAAATGAAGCACGCAGCCAAACCACCAATTAGTGAAATGACTCGTCCAATATCAGGAATGAAGAGAGCAAGAATTAGTGTGAGACAAAACCAGACGAGTGTCTGCACTATCCTCCGTCTCTGTTCCTTGGCCACATCTGTCTCCACCTCCTCTCCTTTAAAACGCAACCACAAACCTTCCAGCACTGCCCTAAAGCACAAACAAATACACACATCCTTTTAGACTGACTATATGCATCCTTCATCGACACACATCTATAGACCACGAAAGGCTGTTACCTTCCACAAAAGTGCAGAATTGGATACGAGGTAACAACACAGATGATGATGAAGGCTCGCGCAATGGCCACCGCAACATCATTAGATGGATACGACATTAATACATCCTGGCTCACGCTTGAGCCAAATGACAGGAAGCCACAGACGCCTGTGGAGAAGAACAAGCACAAAGCTTATACAACCAGCTCATCTTAGATCTCTTGTTCGGCCTGCTTTATCATTCGAATATTTTGGCAAATTTAAGCTCACACACCCGTGCCTGTATACACAAAGAGGCAGATGATCATGCTGACTGTAACAACTGCCCACCAAGGCCGGATTTCTGGCTTCTTCATGCTGTTGAAAACAGGAACGCTGCTGACATGACACTGGGAAAAAGAGTGTGAGGACAATGATGATTTGCTAGATTTCAAAAGTAGAATTAAATCAGACATTAATTCATTGGCTGAGACAGATACACTACCATTTAAAGTTTGGGGTCTGTATCTTTTGAAATAAACTAATACTTTTATACTGCAAAGATGCAACTAAATTGATCAAATATGACAATTTAGACAAACGTTACAAGATTTCTATTTCAGATAAATGGTTCTTTCTAGGTTTCTATTCATCAAAGAATCCTGAAAAAAATGCATCACAGTTTCCACAAAAGTATTAAGCAGATTATTTTATTATCTCCAATAAAAAGTGTTTCTTGAGCAGCAAATCAGCATATTAGAATGATTTCTGAAGGATCATGTGACACTGAAGACTGGAGTAATGATGCTGAAAATTCAGCTTTGCATCACAGGAATAAATTACATTTTAAAATGTATTAAATTAGAAAACAGTTATATTAAATTGTTGTAATATTTAATACTATTACTGGTTTGATCAAATAAATGCAGCCTTGGTTAGCAAGAGACTTATTAAAAAAAATAAAAATAAAAACTCACCAACCCCAAATTTTGGAAAAGTCTAAAATACTAAATGGAGTAAAGTCTACTTACACACCTGGAAACCAAAGCAGATTGTAGGCAAGGCATTAAACACATCGGTCCAGGATGCAGGGCTGAAAGACGCAAACATCACATTATAATAGTGATCACAATTTACTCTGTATTGTTTCTCTCAAATAACTATATAAAATGTACTTCTGACCTGATTGGGATGATTCCTGGAGAAACGTCTTTGTCAGGCCAGATGTATTTGATGATGACTATGATTGTCACATACCAGGTGCCGATAACACTCAGGGTGCTAAAAATTAATCAGTACAAATATGCATATATGATTTAACCAGCAAATACTGAGGAACAGTGTTGGGGAAAGTTACTTTGAAGAGTAATGCATTGCAATGTAAAGTTACTCCCTTAAAAAGTAACTAATTGCGTTACTTACTTTTTAAGAAAAGAAATGCGTTACGTTACTTTTTCTCACCTGGGCTGGGCTTGTTTTTTATAACAAAAAAAGTTTTATTTTGGGGCAAATGTAAAGGCCCTTACACAACTAAATTGAAATAATAGGGCTGAAGGAAATGCAAATTCACGCGTGTATAGTAGAGGGCGCAGCTCAAATAAACCTTTCAGCTGTGCTGCCATTCTGACTCTGGATTGCAGAAGAATAGGATGCAGGAGAAGAAAGTTTAACACTTACTTCACAAATAAAAACAAAAAATCTTTAGTCATTTTTAGTTTAACTGAATCATCGAAGGTCAGCAGCAAGTACATTTGTCAATAAAGTGAGATTAAATGCATAAAGATATTTGTTTTAACACATTTAATTATTGGAGGTTTGCATATTAGTATTCTGATTTTGCATTTCACTGATTTTATTCTTTGAGTAATTCGGAATCTTTTTTTGTCCAAGTGAGATTAGTAAATGCATGCTCAGATTTAGTTTAGAACTACAATAACCATCAAGTTTACACTCAACGCCTCTTCACTTACTCCTGATTTCTCTCAACGTGGGGACAGGAGAGCTGTCAGTCAATACATGGGAAAACTTGCGTTACTTGTTTGAAAAAGTAACTCAGATATTTTGTTCTGACCTTCATCGCGCAAGCTAACCTGTGGTGTACCGCAGGGGTCTGTTCTTGCACCTACTCTTTTCTCTCTCTATCTGCTTCCCTTGGGATCTATCTTTAGGAAACATAACGTTTCTTTTCATTGCTATGCTGATGATATGCAAATCTATCTGCATATGACCTCTGATAATGAGCATGCTCTTAGTTGCTTATCCGCGTGTCTGGACGACGTAAAATCATGGCTCTCAAATAACTTCCTGTTTTTAAATTCAGATAAAACGGAAGCCATTGTTTTTAGCCCCTCCGAAACTAGTAGACAAAACTCACAAAATTTGGAATTCTTAAATTTGAGTACCTCATCCCAAGTGCGTAATTTAGGTGTGATGATCGACAATAGTCTGAAATTTGACAGGCAAATTGCCTCTGTAGTGGGCTCTAGCTTCTTCTACTTACGCTCTCTTTCTAAAATTAAATCTTTTCTCTCGAACGCCTCATTAGAGGTTGCTGTCCATGCCTTTATAACATCGAGGCTGGACTACTGCAACTCTCTATATTATGGTGTGGCTAAGACTCAAATTTCACGCCTTCAAGTCGTTCAAAACGCAGCAGCGAAATTCCTGAAGGGATGTAAAAAGTTTGATCATGTTACACCCCTTCTGAGATCCCTACATTGGTTACCGGTTCAGTATAGAATTGAATACAAAATTCTATTGCTGGTCTACAAATCACTAAATAATCTTGCACCATTATACCTGTCGGACCTACTTCACTTATATACCCCTAAGCGAGGGCTTAGATCGGTAAACAAATTCCTCCTTCAGATTCCAAGAACCCGATTGAAAAACAGGGGAAATAGAGCGTTTGAAGTAGCGGGCACCACATTGTGGAACAAACTCCCAATCCAAATTAAAATGGCCTCCTCCTTATCTGAGTTTAAATCTGCTCTGAAAACTCATCTGTTTGATTCAGCTTTTAACATGTAATTGGATTTTGTACTCACTGAACCTAAGTGATCACTGTTTGTTTTATTATGTATTTTATTGCAAGTTTTGTACAGCACTTTGGTCGGTTGCCAGCCGGTAGTAAATGTGCTCTATAAAAAAACGGAACTTGAACTTGTTGTAAATCTAAAAGTAATGCGTTACTTAAAAAAAGTAATCTGATTACGTAACTCAAATTACTGGTAATGCGTTGCCCCCAACACTGATTAAATAATCAAGTGGAATTGTGTTTACAGAAAAATATTTGCACTCATCACAGCTGTGATATAACATTGCAATGCATGACAAAACTACAGTTAAACAACACGAAAAAAGACGTTTCTACCTGGCATACTTCTGGAAGCCAATCTCTTTGGGTATGGACAGAGGAAGAATGATCAGCACGGAGGTCAAAGTGATGGTGAACTTACGATCTGTGTACCAGTGCGAAATAATCGCTGTTTCTGACTCATGATTTATAGCACCAATCACTGTACCAAGAAAGACAGAAAATCAGACAACTCTAGTCAGACTATTTTGACATATCTTTGTATATGTGAATATACTTACACTTGTCCAACTGATCTCCAATAATAATAAGGAAGGCTATGCAGGTGCCAAAGGTGTAAACAGCGATGGCCAGCTCACATATGACACCGAGAACCTTCCCACACACAGCACGAATCACCTCCTGATACGTTGTTTCATTGCTCACCTAAAAAAAAAGAAGGTGTGGGGCTTAAACCAGTGGATCTCAGCAAGAGTAATTTTGAGGTACCCTATGGACCCTTTTCACGTTTTTACAGTCATCAGCATTGTAAATCCTCCAAAGTTTTATATATATATACACTCACCAGCCACTTTATTAGGTACCCCATGCTAGTAACGGGTTGGACCCCCTTTTGCCTTCAGAACTGCCTCAATTCTTCGTGGCATAGATTCAACAAGGTGCTGGAAGCATTCCTCAGGGAGTTTGGTCCATATTGACATGATGGCATCACACAGTTGCCGCAGATTTGTCGGCTGCACATCCATGATGCGAATCTCCCGTTCCACCACATCCCAAAGATGCTCTTTTGGGTTGAGATCTGGTGACTGTGGAGGCCATTTTAGTACAGTGAACTCATTGTCATGTTCAAGAAACCAATTTGAAATGATTAGAGCTTTGTGACATGGTGGAAGTAGCCATCAGAGGATGGGTACATGGTGGCCATAAAGGGATGGACATGGTCAGAAACAATGCTCAGGTAGGCCGTGGCATTTAAACGATGCCCAATTGGCACTAAGGGGCCTAAAGTGTGCCAGGAAAACATCCCCCACACCATTACACCACCACCACCAGCCTGCACAGTGGTAACAAGGCATGATGGTTCCATGTTCTCATTCTGTTTACGCCAAATTCTGACTCTAACATCTGAATGTCTCAACAGAAATCGAGACTCATCAGACCAGGCAACATTTTTCCAGTCTTCAACTGTTCAATTTTGGTGAGCCCTTGCAAATTGTAGCCTCTTTTTCCTATTTGTAGTGGAGATGAGTGGTACCCGGTGGAGTCTTCTGCTGTTGTAGCCCATCCGCCTCAAGGTTGTGCGTGTTGTGGCTTCACAAATGCTTTGCTGCATACCTCGGTTGTAACGAGTGGTTATTTCAGTCACTGTTGCCCTTCTATCAGCTCGAACCAGTCTGGCCATTCTCCTCTGACCTCTGGCATCAACAAGGCATTTCCGCCCACAGAACTGCCGCTCACTGGATGTTTTTTCTTTTTCGGACCATTCTCTGTAAACCCTAGAGATGGTTGTGCGTGAAAATCCCAGTAGATTAGCAGTTTCTGAAATACTCAGACCAGCCCTTCTGGCACCAACAATCATGCCACGTTCAAAGTCACTCAAATCACCTTTCTTCCCCATACTGATGCTCGGTTTGAACTGCAGGAGATTGTCTTGACCATGTCTACATGCCTAAATGCACTGAGTTGCCGCCATGTGATTGGCTGCTTAGAAATTAAGTGTTAACGAGCAGTTGGACAGGTGTACCTAATAAAGTGGCCGGTGAGTGTATATATATATATATATATATATATATATATATATATATTATGTATTCAATTCAATTCACATTTATTTGTATAGCGCTTTTCAAAATACACATCGTTTCAAAGCAGCTTTACAGAAAATGCATGAGTCCACATTACAATTTAATGTATGTACATTTATAATCCTATACTTTGTATTATATTACCTTTGCATTAAATTACAAAAAACTAGTAAATGCTGCTGTGGGAGTGTTTCTAATACAGCGGCTATGGGAGTGGCTGTAAAACTGACATCTTTCTGTCTTCTGACTGCTGTTATCAATCTCTCTCTGTTTTCCCCCCCTCTTTTTAAAAGTTGTGAAAACACTATTGTAGAGTTTTTCTTTTGCTATTTGAGCAAATGGGAACAAAATATCTATATTTAATGTAGTCTCTCATTCACCGTTATAAAAGTTAATCCAACTATGACGACTTCCGCTTCCGAGAAACCCGGAAATGTGAAAACGGTCAATTGTGCAGTTAATATTCAAAAGTTTTTATAAAACTAAATATATACACAACCGATCAAAAGTTTGGGGTTGGTAAGATTTTTTTAAGGTTTTATTTTAATGGAATCTCGTATGCTCACCAAGGCTGCATTTATTTAATCAAAAATACAGTAAAACAGCCACATTAATAAAAAATATTTTCTATTTTAATGCATTTTAAAATGTAACTTATTCCTGTGATGACAAAGCTGAATTTTCAGCATCATTACTCCAGTCTTCGGCGTCACAGAAATCTTTCTAATATGCTGATCTGCTGCTCAAGAAACATTTCTTATCATCATCAATGTTGAAAACAGTGCTTAATAGTTTTGTGGATTCTTTTATGAATAGAAAGCTTAAAAGAACAGCATTTATTTGAAATAGAAATCTTTAGTAACATTATAATTGTCTTTACTGTTACTTTTAATCAATTTAATGCATCCTTGCTGAATAAAAGTATTAATATCTTTCAAATAAATCTGAACAGAAGTGCATTTTCTCTTGATGCGTCTGATACAGATATATGCTTACCTGAGAACAATAAGCCAAGATCACCAGCCCAGTGATGATGAAGACCATCATGCACTGCAAAAGAATAAGGCAAACTTTGAATTTCACAACATCAAACTTCAAAGGACTAGAACACTTTTTGGTTTTATTTACAACCGTCCATACGTCTCTCTCACCATTTGAAGGGTCACTCCGGCTGTGACGCCACCAGCCATGTTGAAAGCAGCAGGAAAATTGAGAAGTCCGGCTCCCAGAGCAGCATTCACCACAATAAAAACAGCCCCTAATGTAGATGTCCCTTCCCTTCTGTTGTCTGATTGGTTAGGCAGTTGGATGGAGTCCACGCTGGGACTCTGCAGAAGCCACGCCCTTTCACCAGCATCCTCACTGTAGCCCCAATCGCCCACTTCACTGTTAATAGCCCTGTCCGCCCTCGACATGACGCTTGCTTTTCTCACACCCTCAGATAAAACTTACAGGGACACCATAGGGTAAAAGTAGAGGTAAACACACTTGTGCTGTCAGTCAGAGCCGCCACCATTGAGGGGGAAAAGGTGCAAACACACCTCGACAGGGTCCATACAGTTACAGAGAGTCGTGTTCAGTGTTCAATGTCATCTGTGAACAAAGAGGGGAACATATCACATGGTAGTTTTCACAAATTGACTAAAACGGTTTATGAGCATCATAAAATTACATTGTGTGGTTTGCACTTTTAGGTCTGGGAGTCACAGGACATAATTGTATTTCTCAGCTGAACAAACAGTAAATGTCTGATATCGTATTACAATTTCAAATAACTGTTTATTTTCTGTGATGGCCAAGCTGATTATCAGAGTCACATGATCCTTCAGAAATCATTCTAATATGCTGATTTGCTGCTCAATAAACATTTCTTTTTATCAGTTGAAAGTTGTGCTGCGTAGTTTTGTGGAAACCGTGAAATTGTTTTGATGAATAGAAACCACATGGTTTATTGGAAATAGAAATCTTTTGTTGCATTATACTTTGGACTTCTGAGTAATTTAACAAATCCCCGCTCAATAATTTATTTCTTGTCTTTTTGAATGGTAGTGTATTTGCTTTTGACTTGTCTGACAGATATTTTTGCTTGTTTGAGAACAATACGTCAAGATCACAGTCCACATGGTAGTTTTGATGACACAGAGGTTTGCACTTTAGTTCAAGTCTGGGAGTCACGGGACATAATTGTATTTCTCAGCTGATCAGTAAGCAGAAATCTCAGACGATGAGGAAATGAAATATGCTGTCCACAAGAGAAGGAATAAAGCACTGTCTGGACCTTATCTTTAAAGCAGCTTGATTAAAAGCTGATCAATAACATATTGATTTGGGATTATTTCATGAAATGTCTTAACTAAATGACCGAGGACAGTGGTGGTAACGTTAGTTTATGACGGTGTCTTTGAGATTATAGCAGATACATCACCACACACTGACCATCATGCTCACTGACAATAAGATTCAATCAAAACATTAGGCCAAGTCAAGGCAACTGACACTGATCAAACACTAAATTACTCCTGTAATAGGCACGATTTCAATCGTGCAGAAAATGAACTCTACATTCACTAACGTTAAAAAAACACAAATCAGAAAGGCACAAAACATGCCATGACACCCGAACACTTACGTGACTCACATAGCACTGCATTTGTTTAGCTAATAAACTGTCCAGGTATGAAGGATATGTGATAAAGCAGATGTCCCACCTCAAGCGTATGTTCTTCGCTAATCCCGCACCGTGATGAAGAGCATAGATGAGATGTTTTCCAGAGAAGAACTGAAATAAAGATGAGGCTGCTGCCTCCACTGAAACTGGTTCATCGATTAGCTGCTGACACAGACATGGTCACATGACAACATTCAGCTAGTGATGAGCGATTTCGAAACACCGCTTCATGAAGCTTCGAAACCTTTACGAATCTTTTGTTTCGAATCAGTGATTCGGAGCGCGTGAAGAAACTGCCAAAGTCACGTGATTTCAGTAAACGAGGCTTCTTACGTCATATGGGTCTATGGGTTTTACACATAAGGCTTGTTCGACTTCATGCAGCTCTGCGCAGACCGATCGGCGGCAGACTTGAAGCAGTGCATGCCGGTTAGAAATGTTGTCCGACTTGATACAGCGCCGACGCCACGTGACTGTGACGTATGCCATCAAAGTACCGCGAGAGCGATTCGAGAGTAGCCGGAGAACTCAGCCAGCGCAGCTTCTGAAGAGCGGCTGCTCTGGGCTGCACGAGCTGTGATGACGACACAGCTGTTCCACGATTGGCCGGATTCACCGCATGACAACGATCACGTGCGTTTCGTGTTTATTCTCACACCTTTAGTTCCACTAAAGCTCACAAATCAGTTTTTTAATAACAGTAAACACTCTTTTCATGTAGTCGCGATTTATTGTGTTATGTTTATCAAAATAAAACTGATTAAAAAACGTTGATTCCACTTCATTGATAGTAGGCCTAGCTGTGGGCTTATGTTGAACTTTATTCTTGTTCAAACAAACGCTGTATGAAGCAGTAGGCTACATAAAGTATTGAATGAAAATGTCTCTGAAACATCTGTGTATTTGGCAAATATTGCATTTATTTCACTTCAGCTGTGCTAAAGTATACAAACACCACGTGAGCGGTCACTACGGGAACCAGAAAGTGTCCGACTTCACGTCTCCGTTTGCAGCTCCTCCCCGCCTGCACGCGGCTACTCTCGCCGATCGCTTACATCCAGCCGCAGCCGATGTCGAACACACCTAAAGACATAATGCGATACGTCAACGGGTCCGCCATTTTGCTGAGGGCAAGACTGCACTGTAATCAAATGTAAGCAAACGGGGGAGCTGCGTTTTTTCTGGATAAAAACAAACTGTTTTTACATTATCAACCGATTGCAGTGGTTTGTATGTGGTGTACAAAAAGTTCCATCTCTAGTTATTTAAAATCTCGATAGTTAGACTTGTAAAATATTTTTTTTAATAAAGAATGGTCAAAGCTCAGGCTTGTCATGTATCTGGCTTTTTATTCTTGGATAAGAATGGTGAAGAAGACCCCCATACTGAGATATAATTTAAGTTTTCTTATTGTGGAAAAAGCATTTTCTGTGATTGACCTGATTTTAGCAATAACAAAGATAACTGATGGATCCTTTATAATAATACGTTATGGTCAAGGCCGTAACCAGGGTTTGAAAATTAGTGAGGTCCGGGGTGTTGTGTAAAGAATTTTGCTATAATAATGGTTTGGCCATTGGACCCACATTTCCCAATGGACATTAAGCTGTGACCCTTTTTTTTAATGGAATTTGGCATATATATATATATATATATATATATATATATATATATATATATATATATACAGGGGTTAAATTTGGATTTAATTATGTGTGGGGTAGTCTCTCACTAGGGGGGTCCGAGGGTTTGCCCCCCCGGGATTTTTTTTGTGAAAAATAAACCAAAATGGCACTTTCTGGAGAGTTTTGTGCAAAGAAAAAGTAGGTCTAGCAAGTGCAACGCAATCTCACGACCAATTCGTCCGAATTTGACGAGTGATTAAAAGATGGCTAATTCGTACGAATTCGTACGACCTCATTCGTACGAATTTGTACGATTTGTCTAAACCCACGTGATGGGTAGGTTTAGGGGCGGGGTCAGGGTCATTCGTACGAATTCATACGAATTGGGCAACTCGTCAAATATGTACGTTTTAGCAAAAATCGTACTAATTCGTACGAGTGAGGTCGTACGAACTGTTACGAATTAGCCATCTTTTAATCACTCGTCAAATTCGGACGAAATTCACACAGATCAAACACAAATATGCTGACTGAATAGATTGCTAGTTGAGAAACACTGCTTTAATTAATGTTTTTATGATGGCTTTGTGAAAGGTTAACTAAACAGCATGAGCCGTCTTCCAGCTGGCCAGTAAGTTATTTGGCAAATTTCATTCTGTAGGCTAACATACAGATCTGTTTTATGCTATTGTTTTTGATAGTGTTATACATTTCTTACAGATAATCGATTGTCATTGCGTTTGTCTTACCGAATGTGGTAGCTTTATGCAATTACAGTTTGTCTATAAGCTTCTTTTTTTTTAAATGTATTAATGCCGACAGTTAAATGTTGCCAGATATTGCTACGAAAAACAAGCAAAACAAAATAATAATAATAATCCGAAATAAGTTCAAAGCTTGTGTTTTGGAAATAAGGTTAATATATCACTAAACCTTCCCACATTAATAACTTCCTAAAGTGTCACATTAAATCAGAAAAACAGGTGACTACTGCCACCTTTCTATTAGGTGGATCTGGCAACACGGAGGCTGCACCCGCGTTCACAACGCGCTCTCAAGCCCCGTTCAGTTCACTGCGCCAGCTTCTCGCAGCAACATGAATTGCAAACACTCATATGAGGTGGTTTAAACACTGCTAATTAATCATTCAGAGAGCTTGACATTTTATTTTTGAATGTAAAAAAAATGACCGAGGTCCGGACCTCGGTGACCTCATAGCTGGCTACGGCCATGGTTATGGTACAACTACAGTGCAATGCAAATAGTAAATATAACATAAAGTGAGAAGTAATAGTAAATAGTTTAGTCAATAAAATAAACAAATAGTATACAGCAAATAAAATAGTAATGATTAGTATAATTATATAATATCATAAGTACAATAATACAATCATAAAAATATTGATAATAGCATAGTTTATTAATAATACTATAATAATAGCAATAGAATAAGAAATATCAATTACAGAATATACACAATAAAAAATAAGTTAAATAGTGACTTTAATATTTAACTCTTTTTGTTAAATTTCAGTTTTATTGATCAGTAATAGCCATTATAACAGAAGTAGCTTCAGTCAAGCATACAGCAGGATACAATGTTAAAATAGCCTAAATATAAAGTTATGAAACTTCACTTTGCCCTCAGCCAAAACGATTTACCAGGGAACCATTTATAGATTAATGAGACCAAAGATCGCCCGTTAGATATACACAAGACGAATTATATCTCATGTTTAACCACTAGACTACAGACATCCGAGTCAGCGGCAACACTTCAGAAGCACTGGCCGAGGTACGGCTGTTCCAGGCGGGGTAGACGAGCGCTGAGCGCATCTTACAGCTCCGAAAACGTCAGATCAAATTTTTAAATAGGCGCTATCTTTATAAACAAACCACATATTTGAGCTTTAAACAACTACATTGTCGACTGAAAAACTATTTAAACTACATTTCGTGACACAATAACAGTAGTATTTTTAAATTTATCCTCTGAACGTTACTATTACTAATTAAATCATGACCAAATACAACCAAAAACAAACGTTCAGTCTTGCTTGTGAAAGGTAATTCCTCGAAAGCTGTTTTCAATTGTGTGGCGATGTGTACAGCCCCAAACAGCGCACAAAACAGGCATTTTTCTCAATTCCCGGTATGAGAGGTATGGGAAAGTTGCCATCCCCAACATGGCGGCGCCGTTGACGTACGCTCCAGCGGCCAATGTATTTATTATGTCTATGGTTTTACATTTGTAGACGTTTTAATTAGTATACTTTAGTATACTACATTAGTATAATTAAAAGGAATAATAGTAGTTAATAATCTCTTATTGGTCTGTTTAACTAAGCCATCCATGGAATAAACAAAACAAGCACTGAAAATGTATTAAAAAAAACATATTAGATACAGACACTTGATATATAATCTTATTAGATGATCAGTTAATTGTATTTGATATATTTTACTTTCAATAAGGCATTTGCAATGGGTTTGTAAAAGGTGTTTTTGTTGCATTTAGACCTATGATTTACACACACTGCTCTGACCAGCAGGCGTCACCAGCATAGACATATGGTCACCAGTGTGTGGCGTTTCGAACGCTTCGAAACCATGTTCGAAACAGTGAATCATTTTGCGAAGCAATTGGTTCAATTGAATCGAAGCTTTAAAAAGCTTCGTTTCAGCTCATTATGGGTAATGTAGTCGACTCGATTCCATTGTTTTCACCGACTTAACCCTTTATTTAAAAAAGCTGTTTCCTGATAAGGATCCACTTTCCGCCTCCGTCGTCACTACAGTGAATCTGCTTTGGAACTATCTGTAATGTTTTTCTTTTAAACAGTCTTTGGTATACGATGACTTGCTTTAATTGAGCATGAATCTGCCCCCCACCATTTTGGGGAATTATACTTTTTTTATATATATATTGTTTTATTTAAAGATCATTTTCTGACAAATGTATTTATCTATCCACGGTTTTCTTCAAAAAGTGTATGTTTTTGTTTGCAAAGCCCCCATTTACTTTCCTGTGTAAAGTTTTTAAATATTATCGGGATACTTATGTACAACCAGCAACTTAAAAAACTATCCCAGTGTGAAATGTATATAAGATTTTTACATTCTTATAATGCATTAAGGATTTTGTACTGGCTTGGGAAGAAATATTCTACTGTATTTATAGACTATAGAAACATAACCATGTGTACAGTAACAGACAGTTTTAATGTTCCTAACAGTACAAATAATTTTTAAAAATCCATTTTGAATTGATATGCAATTCCTTGTAGTAAAAGCAATTTTTATGTATTAACACGATCATACTTTTGTACTACAATGTATATTACTAAAAAAAATCTATTTTATTATTTTCCTTCACTATTACACAAGAGACTGAGTATCAGATCAAGGTCAGACACTGCAAGATTCATCTTATTTAATATTTTCCATTAAGAGGCCTTTTTTTGTTGTTATAATTTCTGATGTATGTCTCCCTGCTCTGACTTAAATTCTGAGATTACCAGCAGTTGTTAAAGATAAAAAGGTTGCTTTGTGTTAAAAAGAAATCAAATCACACACTAATATCTTTGACAAGTA